ATCGTTTTTTTTTTTTTTAAACGTAACACGGATTTTGGTAATCCGCGTTGTCCAGTATTAATATTAAAATCCACCGATAGTTTCGACTTTCATTTTTTAAAAAAAAAATTAAATGTAAAATAAAAACGGATTCTAAGAATCCGTGTTTTGGTTAAAAATTTTAATTAGGAACACGGATTTTCAGAATCCGTCCGTTTGATTTTTTTCCACAATTATTTTTTTTTTTTTTTTGCCACAGATTTTTATATTTTTTTAAAAAAATAACCCACCCGTACGTACTTGGCAGTAATTTCCTATTTTTTACTACTGCTGTTAATATGAGGGATTAGATTATTAAAATTGATCACCAGATGAAGTCGTATTCTCACACAATAACTTTAAGAAATATAGAGAATAACGACTTTTTTTTATTCGTCTTTCCTTTTAAAATATGCCAAGATTCCAAAAGTGCCTTTTTGTGGATGAGATCGTCTTATCTTCCTTTATTCGAGCTTGTTTGCTATCCTTCATATATTCCAAGTTCATTTAAATTACTCTTGTTCATAATTTGTCATAGTTTATGTAAGAAACGGGAGGAAAACGGGTGCATAACTGTGGTTCATAATTTGTCATAGTTTATGTATGAAAAGTGTTGGTATGCCTCATATATTGACAAACGAAAGAGGCAGACTGATGCCTGCGAGCGTAACGGAGCGAGCGTAGCGAGAGAAGCGGAGCGAGCGTAGCGAGAGAAGCGGAGCGAGCGTAGCGAGAGAAGCGGAGCGACCGAGCGAAGCGAGCGGAGTGGAGTTAGCCCATGTTGGGCTGGGTCGATTAGTTGGGCCGGGGGTGCGGGGGCAGAGCCCCCGCGGTACGGTAGGTGATATTTAAGTAAATTAATACCTTGTAGGGTTATGATGTAAATACATTGTGTATTGATGTATTGAGTACGATTCATAATAAAATATATCCCTCAGCCGCCGTGGACGTAGGCATATTGCCGAACCACGTAAATCTTGTGTTGTTTACTTTCTCGTTTTTAATTCGTATGCCATATTGTCATCTTCTCTCAACAAAAAGGGAGAAAAACGGGTAACTATGTAAGAAACGGGAGGAAAACGGGTAATTATATAAGAAACGGGAAGAAAACGGGTGCGGTCCGACGCACGTGAAACGCATCATAAGCCGAGAAAGCCTAGATGAAACCCAAGTGAGGTTCTATCCCAAAACCAATTGGTGGAAGGGAGAGTAGCCACTAAACTTATAAATTAGTCTATTTTCTCTTTATAAATGATGTGGGACAATTCACGTGAATATTCTAATTGTTTATTTAATCAAAATGGCAAAGAGAATCTACTGTTCTAAGTCTATATAAATAGGATTTTACTACTTTGCCACCCTCCATTACACATGGTTGTAAACATGTTGTAATGAAGAGTGGCTATGTAGTATCACCCATATAAATATGTGGCTTCCAATTTTAATTGACATTCACATTACAATAATGGTTGGTGCAAAGTCGATGTCATGGGAGTTAGCTAGTAGCAAGAATTGTTGCATCTTAGTGTAGCAGATTAATAACATTGTGAAAAGTAGCTGTTTTTTCTTTCTAGTTTCTTCATTGGTGGTTGGATATATTTCTAATTTGATATATGGGGAAATGCTACAGTTTCATTACGGAACTATTTCGTCAGGGTTTATAACCGTTAGATCACTTATTCCCGACGGTTACATTATGTTCTAACGGTTACAACCCGACAGAATGATTCCATAACGAGACTGAAGCATCTCCCTGATATTAATAATGTTTCGTATTCGTTTTTCTTTTCTTGATGGACAACATTAGGAATTTTTTAAAAGAAAATAAAAGCAAGAAGAATCTGTATATTTTATAAAAAGAAGTTCACTCTATAAATAGATAAAATATATTGTTATACAGGCCAAATTTCATTTTTGGTCCATTATATTGGCCATTTTCTAAAAATGGTCCACTAATTTGGAGGACATCAAACTTGATACAATAAGTTGTAAAATTCATCATTTTTGGTCCATTAATCACTCGGGAGGCTACGTGGCGGACATCAAACTTGTCCACGTATTCGCCCGATAAAACGCCACGTATGCTTATGGACCAAAAATGAGGAATTTTACAACTTGTTGTATCAAGTTTGATGTCTGCCAAATTAGTGAACCATTTCTAGAAAATGACCAATATAATGGATCAAAAATAAAATTTTGCCTTGTTATACACATAGGACCATGCATGTGTAGAACGAAAATTTTCACAATCAATAATAATTTATTTTATTTTATTGTAACATTAAATTTTAAGCTTTATTTCATTCTTAGTGTAATCAAATTGACCTACCCTCTGAATGTGCACGAGTAAATTATTGCTAAAGGAAGTTTATAATAGACATATTAATATTTTTTGAAGCAAATATTGCTGCTTTATATAAATATACCTATAATTATGTCCAAATTACCACATATCAATTACAAACTGTTAAATAATATATAAAATTATTAAATTCAATAAAAAGCTAAAGTTTGAAAATAGCATAATACTTGTTGTGTTCTTACTGATTTGATAAATTTTAAAATGTTATCTTTCAATTTTTTTTATTTTTTCTTTTTCGAAAAGATAAAGATAGTATTAACTCAAACAGAACGAATAAAGTTCGAATACAACGAGCCAAACCCAATAAATAAAACTGAAAGGACACGTTTGAAGCGGCCTAGAAAACAAATCAACCCAAAAACTATGCTCAATTAATCACTCTCTACTGCCCAAAGGCCGAGAGAGAAGACACAACACAAAACTATTACAAAAACATAAAATAAAATATAGCAGTAGAATCTGAATATCAGAACAATAACTAGAAGGCTAACTGAGGGAATTCAAACCACTCTTCCTGGGCTTCCTTGATTATCAAATGAGCTGGAATAGATTGGCTTTGGAATATCCAAAGATTTCGGGCATCCCGAGCCACCAAAGCAGGTATGTAGTAAGTTGGATACGTGCTTCAGCTATCTCAGAAGATCCCATGGTGCAAATGTGGTTCCACCAATATCTGAAAGAGGTAACAGAGAATGCATATATACCAACCCAAATAACTGGGGATATCTCCCATACTCAGGCTGCTTTAGGACAATGAAAGAGCATATGTTCCACAGTTTCAGGCACTCCCCCACAACTATTACACATGACATCAACTTTTATTCCCATTTTTTTCAAATTGGTTTTGACAAGCAAAGAATCAGACAAACATTTCCAAATAAAATGATTCAATTTTCCAATGATTTTCAGTTTCCAGCACTTAGAATAAACAGAAGATTGAGTATTACTTGTATTAGAGTTGCTGCCAAGTATATCCAAGGTAAGAAGCTTCTGTCTGGACATAAAAGGATATGTACTTGAAAGTGAAAATTTCACTTTGCTGCCAAACTTCAAGTATTGCCTGTCTTGTTTCCCTGGTTTGAGCGTGCATATTTTTAAGATGGTTGCACTGTCTGTAGCATTGTATAACCGATTAACCAGCCAAGCATTCCAGCCTTTCCCAGTTTCATTGAGAAGTTCTTTGACCCAAATGATGTGCCCTCTGGCTATGTCAAGGAGATATGACTTTGGATTCAAAAGTGATGGCACCCAGTTCACATCAGCCAGCCTTGTAGACTCCCCATTTATGATTTCAAGCAAAGCCTTTGGCAAAGAAAGGGAGTACATCTAGCCAGTTTGACCATAACCAAGAGCATTTTTTTAGATTTTACAGCATAAAAAATAGAGCAGTCTGAGTAGTACCTGTCTTTAAAATTTTGCTCACCAATAAATGAGGCTGAGCTGTGATCCTTCAGAGTTGTTTGCATATGAGAGCAATATTGAGAATTGGCCCTTATCAGCCTCTCAATCTCATCCTTGAGCTCTTTACAGTTGTTCGTCCAGTGCCCATAGTTGCGATGACACCTGCAATAAGGGTCTCCTTTCACCAGCACCTTTCCTGACTTCTTGGGTAGGGGCTGAGGCTTCCCAAACATC